TATATATATATATATATATATATATATATATATATATATATATATATATATATAAGTTTAGCCCACAGAAATATAAACTTTATTTCACAAAAATAAGTTTCGTTTTTCAGAAATAAACTTTATATCTCACAAATAAACTTTTCAAATACTTTTTCTCAGTATATGACAACTATGCCAAGTTGGAAAAAATTTGTTACATTATAGAGGTTCTACGTATGCTTGCACAAATAATACAATTAAGTGTCCCAGGAACGATACAGAAAAGAAGTGCAATCTTGAAATTTTTATTACGCATTGTCAGCTCAATTAACTTTTGCATCATGTATATATTATGTATGTTTATTTTATGTATTTAGTCTAATAACATAAAATAACATATATTGCAGGTCTTACATTTGTCAAACGCTAGAGCCTCCTTGAGCGGAGGAAAGAGAATTAAGAATAACCCAGGCAATATGCTTTACTCACCCGTATTTCGCATACTGGTGCATTTCTCTATTTGCGATTAAGCGATCCCTTGGTTCGCGAATGAATCTTGGATAAATTGATTTGAATTATATCCTTCGGAGAATATTATTTGAATTATTTCTTTCTTTTATATTTTGTTCCTATTTCTTGTTATATTCTCTAAAGTATCATCGTGTCTTCCTAGAGAGGGACTTCGCCGTGACCGACGGTGCACGCCTACGCGACGTTCTCGTAGTATATCTATTCGATACACTGCAAAAATACACACAACTCGCGCGCTAGAATGCCGGACAATGAGACGGTCTGTTGCCAGGGCCTCGTCTAACGATTCAACCGGCAGTATGACGAATCTCGAGAGCGAGCGCAGGTAATTACGGCTCAAAGTTTCTTAGGAAGTCCACGGACAGCTGTCGGCTTACACCGCCAAGAATAAACCGGTTGTACACCCGCGAACTGGTGCGTCAGCCAGTTCCTTACCGGTTCGAACCACGCGGAACGCATTCGTGGCGCGTCTTTACGCGAACGGATACGCGCCTCCCTCTTTTCTTTCTTCCTTCTTTTTTCGCACATCGCAACTGCCGACACGCGGACCGAACAGCTGATACGGCTGACACGGCTTGTCGAGTTCAGCGGTTTGATTGGGACCTGGTGTTTCCAACCGCGGAAATTTTTCCTCGTTGCGAAAGAGATGCTCAAGTTGTGAGAGAAATTGCCTCGGAAAGTTTCCATCGATCACGTACCGTAAGTTAAGTGACATGTTTATATCAAATGCATATAAGCAAGTTGCATTTCAGCTTTTCCGTATACTTATCACGTAAAAAAGCGAAAAAGGATTGATAGTCGTGCTGGCATGAATGGTTGTGGTGCACACATTAACGCAATAAGAAATGTGCGCGGTCGTACACTGATAGAAAAAAATATCTAACATATAAAAAAATATTTTTTCGACGGAACAATAACATATTTAAACTAATAAATTTGTTTAAGTCTAAACGCTTTTATTTAAATTGAATAAACAATTGCTTTCATGAAAAGCTGAGGTTTAAGGAAAATATATATTTTTATTCTAGAAAAATATTTCACATTAATATAAATATTTTATACTAATGTGTGTATAAATTATATATTATATATATATATATATATATATATATATATATATATATATATATATATATAACCTATCGAATAAATATCCCTTATTTCTTAGATATTTTTTCTCTCAGTGTATTTACTAATTAAAAAATTGCCTATGCGCGCAAATAAACTCAATACTGTCGATGTATTTTGTAATCCTGTTTTTGTAATTATTCTATACTGGCGATCTCTTCAAATTCTGTTATTATATTACCTATTATTATATTTGTGAAGAGCTACAATATATAAAATCATGGCTAATAGAATTGTTATTATATTATGCATTGGTATCTATAATAATTATATCTGGGCTATACTTTTCTGATTTTCCCAAATGACGATAAAAAGTGACCTAATATTCAAGATACGAAAGAACAAATTGGCCCAAGTTTTACTAAAATAATGTGGTTCTCTTCAAGAATAAAACGTTCTGTTTGCTCATCGCAGGACAATTTGTCAAACAACAAAGTAGAGAAAGACGCACCGTGACTTAGCTTAGAGTCCCTTCAATTTGTGCAACGTGTACTTTGTGATCAAACAACGTCTCGTAACGATGTCACTTGAAAAAGCTAATCGCCAATCTCAAATAAGCAAACACACAGGGATTCCGACAACTTTGACGATGCAATATGAGAATAATTTCTGAGAATAGTTTCATTTCAAATGAAGTAATAATAAAAACTAGAAATCGCTACAAGAAGCTATTAATTCTCGAGATAATTATGATAATTAATTCTGATAAAGCTATATGGAAATGACAAAGCTGTATGAGAAGTGTTAAACTTTCAAACGAACATAGAACGTATAGTAATACGTATAGAATGAAAACATTATGTTATATGAAAATTTTATCAATTCGTTGATAACAATGTTTTTTCTCGACGTTTACTGTTAATATATAGAAACATATGTTGTGACGCTTTTGCTTATAATTTACACTTACGTAGAAGTCTTGCTAGTCTTTTCGAAATGTATTATTTTTAGTAAGTTATAGACTCATTAATTTAATAAGGCGAAAATTTAATAGAAGTACTCATTTTCGCCTCATTCAAAAACGCCTGAAAAACATATAAAAGATATTCAAATAACATGTAAAAGACGTGTGAAACATCTTTCAAGGTATGTAAAGACATGTAAAAAATTCTGACGTATTTAAGACAACTTTTAAAAATTTGTGCTGCTTGGATTTATTATTTATGAAAAGAATAAATTTGTTAAATCGTGTCGCCGAAGTTATCGGAATAGGGCCTCACAAACTCTTTTTTTGCTTAAAACTCTTTATTTTATTTTACTTATTTTACTTGGAACTTTTACTTTTACTTAAAGGAATGTCAAAAATGTTAAAAATATTAATTACAATAGATTTTAATGTACGATTGTATTGATTTTAATGTACGATTTTTAATATACGAAAATTTCAATTGTGATTATTTTATAATGCTATTCTATAAATTCTGTGTTCATAAAAGCACTCGTGAAGAGTCCATATGTGATAATAAAAACTAACATTATTATTTTATTATGCATTAATATATATTGCAATTACTTTTTATTACTATTTGGTTTTTTCCTATTCATATCCCTATTTGTACATTCCCATGCGTTTTTTTCCTATTTTCCGAAAAAAAATGATAAAAAGTAACATAGCATTTAAGGTGCGAAAGAATGGATAAAGATGGTAATTTAG